GGGGAGGGTGGGGGGAGGGAGCCGTGGCCTTAAGAAGGGAAAGAAGGAGGCAGACCCCTCCCCCGGGCTGGAGAGGCCAGGCCTGAAAAGGAATAAAGAATCGAGGCCCAAGGAGAGGAGGAGGAGGGGCGTGGAGACCCCAATCTAGGGGAGGGTAAAAGAGGGGGGACGAGATTTGAGACCCAGGAACAGTTGGGAAAGGGTAGAGACCTCAGCCTAGGGAGAGGAAGGGTACAAGAGGAAGCCACCGACTCGGAGGAAAAGACGGGGCACTCTCCTTCCCCTCAAATCGTAGGAAGGAGAGGAATAGTGAGCCCTGGGGTGAGGTCAAGGCTTCAGCAGCCAGGACTCCCCTCCCCTCCCGTTCAGGGCAAGTCCCTTCCCCCTCCAGCTCAGCCTTTGTTCCTGAGTCTGAAGGCCACGAGACTAACTCCCAGCTGCGGCCCCAGCCATAGCTATGGAGGCAGGCCCTAAGCAAAGTAGGGGGGGGTCTGTGTGTGATGCACAGGCCTCTGCCCCCTGGCACGTTTAAGGCCTCAGGTGCTTCTGGGCTAGAGCTGAGAGTATGCCATTTCCTGTGGGTCTGTCCCTACCTGTCCACTAAGAGAGGACTGGGGGGAGTGGCTAGGACTCCCTGGAGGTGCCAACCAAAGCCTGTCTGAGCTGCAAGGAGCCTTGAAAGCCGCTCCACCTCGCCCCCCCATCCATACCCTCACTTTATGAAGGCCAGTGCTAAAGTCTAGAGAGCGGAGAGCCCTTGATCAGCCTAGTTCGGACTAGGCTTGGCTTCTGGGCTGAAGAGACTGTTGGGGGTGGGTGGGTGGAGGTGGGGAGGGTAGTTATACGAGTAGGTTGGAGTGTGCCTGCCCTCCCCCACACCCCACCCACCCAAGAGGGAGGACCAGGAAGTGTCTACCTATAGGGATGGTGAGAGTGTTTATTGGGAGCCAAGCATTTTGCCCACACTGTGGGGGATTAATCAAGGATAGCTCCCACTCCTATCTTTCCCTTCACTGCCCCCAAGCCATGGTCAGAAAGTCACCCCTGGCCTGGTGTGATTTGGAACATCACAAGTTAGTGTTCATTATGTATCAGGGGAAACCTGGAAAATCATCCCCTCTGCCTTCCACAACTCTGTTATATCCCAACCTCAATCAGGATTACAGAGAAACAAGGCCTGGGATATCTTTTTTAAATTATTTTATTTCATTTATTATTATTATTAATAATAACTTGACCAGAGAGAGAGAGAGGGAAAGGGAAAGGGAGAATGGGAGTCCACCACCTTAACCACCAGCCATCTGCCCACCCACTGGCATATTTTCTCACAGCAAAGGTAATCTGATGTCAGCCTCTGATGAATGGGGGGCGGGGCAGAAGTAGAAAGGGAGGGAGGCCCTTTGAAAGGATGGTTTGGGGACTAGTGGTGCCTGCCCTGTGGCAAAAAGAAAGGGTGGTTTTATCCTTTTAGAATCTTGCCCAGCTAATTTCATGGACTCTCCAGCAGTCATTAGCTTCTAGCCCCTTCCAGGGCCTAAAGGTTAGAACTGCCATGTGTGGTTATACAGATTGTTCACCGCACAAGGGATAAAATGCAAGTGGAGCCTAAAACACAGCCTGCACTCCCCTTGCTAAACTGTGTGCCACGATACCGGCCAGTGTCCATTCAGAAGATGACCTTTTTCGTGAGCGCATAAAGAAGACTATGAACTCTCAGTGGCTGTCCAATAGCCATGAGGCCAAGGCATAAGCCCTCCCTCTCTCTGATTCTCTTCCTGGAGCAGAGTGCAGGAAGAGCTTTATCATTACCAGTCTGAGCTATTTTGGGGTGGAGTTAGGTGCACAAAGAATGTCAACTAATGAGTCAGACTAAACTCTATAGGGTATCAGGGAGACTTCTTAATGCAGTATGATTTACAGATAATAATAACTAGTCTTCATGGAACCCTTATTCTTTACCAGGCTCTATTCTAAGTGTTTTGAATGCATTGCGTCCCATTCAATCTTAGGAACTGTCTTTAAAGTGAACATATTGCTATCTCCCATCCAGATAAGCAAACTACAGCTTAGAAAAGTTTAGTAATTTGCCCAAGATTACCCAGCAAATTTCAATTCCAGATTGTCTGTTTCCAGTGTCTACAGTCCTAGCCATTACACTACACTGCCTCCTAATAGGGAAAAGAGAGGGGAGAAAGAGTAAATCCAGGAGTTTGGTACTCTGTCTAAATTATGTGAGTACTTCCTAAACTTATCTGGCTCCAAAGCCCTTTTTTATCCAAACATTTATTAACATGTCCAGGAACTACTACTCCACAGGACACAGTTTGGGAAACTTGTGCTATACTAATTACTGCTATTTATGTAAAATGCTTACCATTTAGGATAATTACTATGCAACATAGTAACTGTTATAATTAATGTTGGCTTAACTTGGTGGATGTTTTCATTTGGTATTGCTAACACTGTTTAAGATTGCCCGGTTTTCTGATGCGCACATTGCAGAACCAAGTCTTCTGCTTTAAAAACCAGAAGGGAACTCTTGGTTCTGTCTTGTAAGTGGGCCCCTTCCCTCTGGCTACTTTAACTTCAGGGCTCCCCAGAGCACTGTGCTTCAGCCACTGCTCAACTTAGAAGTTTCATCCACACTCATGTTTTTGTTTTGTTTGTTTGTTTGTTTGTTTGTTTTTAATCACTCTCTTGACTCTAATAAGCCCTCCCTAGTGCCCAGACCTTTTCACTGTAAATACCTACAGGACTTTCAGACTTCATATTCATAGGCGGGGGCTTCAGACAGTTGGTGGAAGCTACATATTATGAAAAAACTATGTACGGATTTCTTTTCTTTCCTTTCTTTCTTTTTTTTTTTTTTTGAGAGGTTTTTGCTATAGGAGATGTGTGCTTGCCAAAAAGACAGAGACAGAGAGACAGAAAGCTAGAAATCATCCCCTGGGGGGATGGCCATGCCACAATCCC